ATATATATATATATATATTTTACATACTGACCATTTTCACCTCCCACCTCCCTACCACCCCCACCCTATCCTCTTTCCTCCCTACAAATTCCCTCAAATTTATGTCTGCTTGTGATCTACCGAGATTAACAAGGGCATTCTGTGTGAATGTGCATTCGGAGCTATCTGTTGGAACCGGGTGGGCTCAGCAGCGGGTATGCAACTAAAAGACAGTGATTCCTCCTCTCCCAAATCTGTCAATAAGCAATAGTTCAGAGTTTTAAAAGCTAAGGCTCCTTCCTTGACTGATTGCTGATAAGGCTGGTCTTGTATGGGCCCAGCGCAAGTAACCACAGTTGATATGAGTTAATGACTATGGTAGTTGTAGCCTTTCATCCACCCTCCAGCTTTTACATACCTCTCACACCTTCTTCTGCACTGTTCCCTGAGCCTTAGACGTGGTGGCACAAGTGACCAAGATGTTTTTGTTATTATCCTGAAATCTATTAATCTTTCTGGAAATTTTAAGAAAAATCAAAATTTTTAATTTACAATCTAAAAGTCTCTTCCTATCATTTTATCTATCTATCTGTCTATCAATCTATCTATCTATCTATCTATCTATCTATCTATCATCTATCTATCTATCATCTATCTATCTATCTATCTATCATCTATCTATGTATCTATGTATCTATCAATCATATATAGCTATCATCTATCTATCTATCATCTATCATATATCAATCATCTATCTCTCTAGCTATCATCTATCTATCTATCTATCTATCTATCATCTATCTATCAGCTATCAATCATCTATCTATCTAACATCTATCATCTATCATCTATGTATGTATGTATGTATGTACCTATGACCTATGTATCTATGTATCTATCTATCATCTATATCTATCATCTATCTATCTATCTATCTATCTATCTATCTATCTATCTATCTATCTATGTATCATCTATCAATCATCTATCTCTCTAGCTATCATCTATCATTTATTATTATTGCTATTTTATCATCATCATCATCATCATCATCATCATCATCATTATTTTGTTGTTGTTTTGAGACAGGTCTCATGTACCCATGGCTGGCCTGGAACTCAAATGTAGCCAAGGTTGCCCTTGAACTCCTGATCCTCCTGTCTTAGCCTCCCAATGGCTGGAATGATAGGCATGTGCCACAGTACTCTGCTTTCTTTCTGTCACTTTAGCATATCCTTAATGACGATTCAGTTGTGTCCAGCAATGCTGGAAGCACTTTCTGTATGTTCTGAAGTTTTCTTTATCTTTTAAAACTCTTAAAAATATTTTATTTACTATGTTTATTTTATGTGTATGAGTGTTTTGCCTGCATGTAAGTGTACCACGTGTGTGCAATGCCTGTGAAGGCCAGAAGAGGGAGTTGGATCTTCTGGAACTAGAGTTATGAGTACTTGTCAGCCATCATGTGGGTGCTGGGAACTGAATCCCAGGTCCCCTGGAAAAACTGTAAGTGTTCTTAACTGCTGAGCCATCTCTCCAGCCCCATTTAAAAATTCTTAATATTTAATTTGCTCATTTGGTCCTTATTTATTGAATACTTACTATGGTATTTGTATATTTAGCAAGGAACGAACAAAATAACATCAACAGGGCATGTTTGTATGGAAAGCTGTTCATGACACCCTTCCAGCCCTGAACACTGTTAATGTAAAAATCATCATTCACTAATGTATTGAGGAATGTATTAAGTTCTTGGTTTTGAAAATTACTAAATAACTATGGCTTTTTATCTTTTTTTTGCTTTATTTTTATGTGTGTGCATGTATTGCATACATGTATACAAGTGTACCCATGTCATGGGGAAAGAAGAGGACAGAAGAGGGTGTCAGGTCCCCTGGAACTGGAGTTATGAACTGTTGTTAGCTGCCATGTGGGTGCTGGGATTAGAACTTGGGTCTTCTGTAAATACAGTCAGTGCTTTTAACTGCTGAGCCATCTCTCCAGCCCCCACTATGGCTTTTTAAATAAACATGGTGGGGAGATTTGGTTTTAGAAATGGAGATAGAGATAGTCTGCTGGTAACTATTTCATTCATTTGCCTTTTCCCCAAGTGACAGTAATTATCATCCACATATGAAAAAAAAGTCTTCATGACTCATCCTTGAAGTTGGGGAATTCAGCTTTCTTTTTACCAGAGGTTCTCAAAGATACTTAAGACTGTGAGAAAGGATACAGCAGAACAGTTGTATATTAACAATAGTGCTGAAAATCAGTTCCTCATTAACTGTGCACAAATCACAGATTTCTAATAGTCCTTGATGGCACTGCTTCCTCTGTGGATTATGTGGGAAATGCTTTAGTCTGAATAATCATTCTCTAGGGGAAAGCCTTCATAATAAATTCTCTTTATACAGTGTGTGTATGTGTGTGTGTGTGTGTGTGTGTGTGTAGAGAGAGAGAGAGAGAGAGAGAGAGAGAGAGAGAGCCTAAGTGTTGTAGAATACTGAACTGAGTCAGTCATGCACATGTGCCTAGTATAATTAAAGAACATCATTTAAAGGTAGTAACAGTATCCAATTACAGGAAGTGCCCTGTAGGTTTTTGCTTGTCACCACATTGTTTAAAAATAAACTAATAGCAATAATGGACAGCTAATCCAAAGGCTAAAGGAAATAAGGGACTCAGTTTCCATAACATAAAACAAAACAAGCCTGAAAACTCTAACTAGATATTGATAGAAGAAATAACTCCATTATTATTTTGCTGGAGTTATTGAGGCCCTTAAAGGCATAGTGGGTTGTTTATACTCTTCTGTGCTGCATTGTGAATTGGAGACATCTATGAAAAGACTGTAGAATTAAAACGATACATTTTCAGAGTTCTCTCTGGTGGTTCAGTGCGGAACTGTTGTGTGTGGTATGGATGCAGGGAGCATGTGTGTTTTTCAAAGAGTACTATCCCTACCCTGCCTTTGTAATTAAAAAAGATGTTCTGTTGATGGTTCTGAATCACCCAATAGCCCAGTCACATACTTTCCACCTGTTTCAGAACCCACTTTCAGGGACTGTGAGTAGGCAATCCATTGTAGAGACTGTGAATAAAGCATCTGTTAGTGTTCTAAAAGAGACAGCTAATTTCACATGGAAACTTAATTGAAGCCCCTCTCTCCCTTTTAAAAGTTTAAAATAATAATAATAATAATAATAATAATAATAATAATTGTTGTTGTTGTTGTTGGGTGTGTGTGATGAGCGTTCATGTGTGCCATAGTACACATATGGAGGCCAAAGGGCAACTTTGTGTGTTTCGTCCACCTTTATGTGGGTCCCAGGGATTGAACTCATGACATCAGGCTTTCGTGAACCATCATCTCACTTTCTCTCTCTCTCTCTCTCTCTCTCTCTCTCTCTCTCTCTCTCAGATTCAGAAAAACTGAATCTGAACAAATGCAATTTCACATATGCTCAGTAGTAAATAAAGGGGAAAAGATACATGTTATCAGTGTGCCTGTTGGGACAGGAAGAACTGGGTTGTTTTCTGAGGGGCTGAGGAGTGGGGATCAGTTGACTTTAAAGGTGAAGTTTCTTTAAGAGTAAGGACACAGGAGTACTATACACACATCCTCCTCTATAACATGGTACGTTTCTCCAGATGGATGTTAGAGTCATTTGGCATGGAAGGTGTGTGCTCCAAGTACTCGACTATTAAAATGCTGTGTCTATGTCTTTCCATGTCTCTTTGGTCGATCTTTAGTTTGTACATTAAATAGAGGGCATCTTTTTTTTTAATTAAAAAGATGTATTTAATTTTATTTTGTATGCATATAGGTGTTTTGCCTGCATGTAAGTACATGCAATGCATACAATGCCAGAGGAGGTCAGAAGAGGGCATTAGATCCCTGGAACTGAAGTTTCAGAAGGTTGTTAGAGGCCATGTAGGTGCTGGGGACCAAACCAGGGTCCTCTGCAAGAGCAGCAAGTGCTCTTAACCTCTGAGCCATTTCTCCAGCCCCTTGTTTTATTAAAAAAAATTTATGTTGTTTGAGAAAGGGTCCTATGTATTCCAGGCTAGCCTTGAACTCACTGTGTAGCCAAGGATGACCTTGAACTTCTGATTCTCCTTCCTCTACCTCTGGTTATTATTTTTTTTATTTTATTCTGTTGAGAGAGGGTGTTGCTATGTAGTCCAGACTGTCTCAATCTCCAGGTTCTCCAATTTTAGCCTTTAGACTAAAATCTGAGATCACAGCCATGTGTCCCCAAACCCAGCTTTAAAAGGTTATCATTAAAATGGTAAATTGTTATCGAGAATGGGGTCAACATTGTTAATGGTATGGTGAGATTTTTGTCAGGGCCATATGCTAGAAAGGACCTATCTTGTAGGCCCCGTCATCACTGCTAATCTCACATATGTGATTAGTAAAACACTTCTGAGTTTAAGAGTCTTAATCTTGGCAGATTCGTATTGTTTTGTTTTACCGTTTTATAAACTTTAAACCTTGAGACTTAAGGTGTAGGGTGAAAGTGATCTCTTTCCGGTTTGGAGACTGGAGGGTTAATGACTGAAGCTGGTCAGCCACCAGAGGGGTCTCAAGTCCTGGTGTTTTGGGGGTGTTCACCATGTGCTGCTTGGAATGAATGCTGTGAGAAAATAAAATAAGAGTTTCCTTCCTGGCCTTAGTTCTTTCAAAATCCTAGTGCTGTCCACATTTCTTTATGGCAATCTTATTTGAAAAGCATTTATATACATGTACATATACATATATAATACATTCACATCTTTTATGACTGAGTAAACGATCACGCTATGAATGTGACACACCAGTGTCAAAAGCTGCTTGGAAATCTCTCACTGTGGACTTTCCCAACCGTGGTAGCATACTTTTAAAAGCGTTAAAAAAAAAAAAAATTCACAACACTTATCTGAGAGTCTAATTGGGAAGAACATTGCCTTGGGAAATCGCTCAGCCCAAGACAACGCTGCTCTGTTTCTTTTCAGATTTTAAATCCCAAGTCCCACACCGCGGTCTGCAGTCCAGGGCTTCAAATAGTCATTTGCGGAGATGAGCGGAGGTCCTTCAAAGGGTCTGCTGGATTCTCGGGATCTTCCCAGGGTGAGCGGGGCTGCGGGGCTGATAACCAGCTGCCCAGGAACCGAGCAAGGCGGGCTGCAAACTGCTCAGCTGTTGACAGGCTGGCCTCTGAGAACACGGGTTAAATATAGCCGCGCAGCTCCTAGCCCCAACAAAGTCACTGCGTTGACAGTGTGCGGGGAGCAGGCAGGGAGAAACCCAATCTCAGAACCCAACAACACCTAGCAACAGTTGAAAAAACTTTGTAACAGAAGTCTGGGTGGGAGATCCAGGGCTTCCAATGTCTGCTGATTGGGACTGAGGGAGAAGTTGCTGCCCCTCTGTGCTTCCTGTATGACTTCAGCTACTGGCTGGTCCCGGCACAGTGGGAAAAGTTTGTTCTTCAGTCTTCTTTTGGGCTGGCTAGTGTTCCAGGACTCAAGGCTGTCTTGGGCTGTGGGACCAGCCACTGGGCTCTTCTGGGGATAAACCAGCTGGAGAGAGGACGGACACACCTTTGGTTGAACTAGCTGCCTGCAGGTAAGACCAAAAGAAAGCGCTCCTTTCTAAAATGTGTTTCCACAAAAGACAGTCCTCTCTGATTCTGCCCTGTCTGTTGTGATCTTCCTGCTCTGTGATGTGATAACACATATAGGAATTCTTATGATTACTGTGGATGTTTAAAAAGCCGGAAACTTCATCTCTTTCTCAGAATCAAGCCGATTCCCTTTGAAACATAGTTGTGTGATGTCTTAAGTCAGCAGGATAGACTAGCTGAGTTAATCACTCTTGTGCAGGTAAACAGAAATGTGACAAAAGACATTTCCCAGCTCCTTTCCCAGTTAGGACCACTAAATCATGGATTCCTCAGGGGCGAAATAGCTTTCATTTATTGAAACTAGCTGAGCAGCCTGAAAGTCCTGTACTGTGTTTATGTCCTGCTTCTTTGAGTCGCTGCTTTGCCAGGTTCTCTGATTGCACCGGGACACCTTGTTCGGTTCTGACCTCATTTCACTGCCGTCGCCCCAGATGCATCTGACTCCCACAGAGTCTGCCTGCTGTGGACCCGCTACTTTTGCAGCTGTTGAATATTCAGGAGACTGTGTGTATATTTTAAGTTAAATTGAGTAATTGCTTTTATGCAGATATAGATTCTGCTTTTAAAAACTTAGACTACTTCTTAGAAAAAAACCCTTTCATAAATGCATGGATGTGTGTCCGAGTGTGTTTGCAGCAGTGAGAAGGAATTCCTTGTTTCCTTGGGGTATCTTGTCTCCCCTTCCACTGGTTGACATGCATTTTTATCACAACTGCTAATAGCCAACACGTTCATGCTCAGTCTGACAAGTCAAGCTACATATGGGTGATGTAGTCAGTGTTGATACCTGGTGGGCTGTGGTTGGGCTGAATTTACATAACAGGATTATTCCTTCAAATGATGAGAATTTGGGTGATTGGTTTAACCTAAGGATAAGAACAAAGAAAATACTGAAGCACATTTTAAAAGAAATGGTTTAAATGCTGGATGTGGTGGCTCATGGCTGTAAAGAGGTAGGAAGATTGCTGTGAGTTCAAAGCTAGCCTGAGCTAGCTACATAGTAAATTTCAGGCCAGCCTGGGCTACAGAGTAAGACTCTCTTTTAAGAGAGAGTCTTTTTTTCTAAAGAACTTATTTAAGCCTATTTAGTCGATGTAAAAAAAAAAAGGAATTTAGATATAACTGGTTGTGAAACAATTGTTTTTTGACAAATGGGAATGTCTCAGCCATTTAGGTAAATGTTTCTATTCCAAGAATAGTCAATTAATGCTTCTATGGCGTGTGTTCAGTAAAATGTAATAATATAGACATCTCCGTGTGTGTCATATTTCATAACTCCTATTACTCGATTAGTTCACAAATAAGTAAAGCTAATCATATATAACAAATATGTACAAATAGTAGTGAGTGTGGTGTGGCAGCCCTACTGGAGAAGAAGCTCTCGTTGCTCTACTGGAGACGAAATACCTTGTCTTGAGAGAGTTTTGAGAAGTCAGAATTAGATGCTTTGCATTTTTCTCGTTTTAATCCTAGGAAGGGTCACATTACTGGCTTACACATAACTGTGGAAGGCTAAAATCTACTATTGGTTTGAGGCATGCAGCTTTTTTTGGAGTCAGTGTGACAGCTTTTAGATAACAGCACAGTGCCTGCCCAGAGTGAAGGCCATATCTGTTGAAGTGGATTTTTGAGTATCATTAATTGTCTTCATGGTTGTAAATTTCTTCTTGAGAATTAAGAGGTGCTAAGGTTAAACTGCATGGTCCCCGCTATCTGAACAGCACTGTCCTCCCTGAATGTGCAGACCCACTTACTATCTGATTCTCAAAGTGTGTTTCTGTGCCTTTTGGCCCTCTCCCTCCCCCTTCCCGTAAGAACGCTTAGATTGCACTGCCTGTTCTCTACCCCTTTCGGCTTCATTGCCATCCAAGTCATGCTGCTGGTGATCACGGGACTAGCTTTCTTAAAGTACTGCTGTGTGTGCCTATCTGCTCTTTGGTTATCTACTGAACTTCTAGTTGCTGCCAAACACCGAGGTTGGGTATTTTGAAAGCCTTCTATCATCTGGCACCTGCTTAGCTTTTCTAGTCTCATTCCTACTGCTCAGCAACAAGGTCCCTTGGCTTCAGGTACTTCAGATTATGGGCCGTTCTTCAGACACTAGGGTCTTTCACAGTAGGCTTGGCCTCACTAAATCCAGGATTGTTTTATGAACCATTTAGGTACAAGTAACAGCTCTGAAGCTTGGCCAGATGCACTATACACACTACAGATGATCTGTTAACTCCTGTGGCTCTACATCTCTAATGATGACTATGAGAGAAAATGTGGATAAGTGTAAAGTCAAGAAAAGCAATGGGAAGTATGGCTAATAGAGTTTTACCTAAAAATTCTCAACAGAAGACATTATGATTTTACCATGCTCAGGAAATTATATGATTTTTAACCCTGCTTATTATATACCTGACTATGTAGATAATGCTGTATATCTTACAAATAATGTGGAAGACATTTGTCTATTTCCTGTATATGAACCTAGACTTCTAAACCTCTAAATTCTATAATTCATATTTTTATCATTTTTAGTGACAGATTTTATATATAGTTATCTTTGGTACAACTCATTTAAATAATTTCTATCATTGTTTGTCTTCTATTTATGGGTCCTAAATTAGAATCTGGCCATGATCACAAACATTTAAAATATTACAGTTCTTTAGGTCTTTTTTTCCCTCTGTATATTTAAAACATATTTTTCTTGGTACTACTTTCAATTGCTCATGAAACCTTCAGTCTTGCTGTGTGACAGTAAGCATGCACCAGCAGCAAGCTCGCACCAGCAGCAAGGACTCACCATGTTTTGAAGCTGTTTGTTCTGTATCCACTGAAACAAAACCATTCTCTTTATACTCTAAGGTGGTCAGCGAGGTTAAATGGATGTTCAGTAAGAATCACCAGGGAATTTTTCCACTGGAATTTGTAAAATATTTAACATATTCATTAAGCAATGATTTCCATATAGTTTATAGTTTTTTAGTTATTCTTTAGAAGTGAAATGTTAGGATTTATACATTCTAAGTATTACAGTGTTTCCCACTTTAGGTAGGTGAGGATTTCTCTTTTTAAAAAAAGATTTTTATTTTTTATAATTTTTAAAGTACATGAGCATGTGTGCGTGTGTGTGTGTATGTGTGTGTGTGTGTGTGTGTGTGTGTGTGTGTGTAGCTACCCAAAGAGACCAGAGGCATGGAATCTCCCTGGAGCTGGAGTTACAGGAGGTTGTGAGCTGCCCAATGTGGGTTCTGGGAACTGAATTTGAGTCCTCTGCAAGAGCAGTACAGTCTCTTAACCACTAAGCCATCTCTCCAGCCCCCCCTTTTTAGGATTTATTGTAATATATACATACATATATATAAAATGTGTGTGTGTGTGTGTGTGTGTGTGTGTGTGTGTGTGAATGTATGCTTCATGTTTGCAGATGCCTGAGGAATGCAGAAGAGGGCCTCAGACTTCCGGGAACAGGAAGTGCTCTTAATTGTTGAGTCATCTCTCTAGTCCCCAGATCAGATGAACATTTCTTAATAAATGAAAGGCACTTCAAACAGGATATTACAGAATTTAATCCACACTTTCACTCATTTATCCAATCTTAAGTCTTTAAATTTGCAGAGCTTAGAAAAGCATGAATCTGGTGCATAAGCTTAGGTTGATACTTCATTCAAAATGTTTAAGAGAAAAATGAACGGCAACAACTTAGAAAAATGGCATAAAAGTCTATAGTCTAAATGGATTTATATATTATTTTAATAGCTAGCAACACAATAAATGATAAGCTAATAAGAATACATTTGTTTCCTTACATCTGACTGAAGATCTAATAGTAAGGATATATTCATGGAGGAGGCATCAGGAAAGGCAAGAAACAGGCAAACTGGCTGGCCTGGTCTCAAAATTTCAGCCTCAGTTTGACCCTTTGGGTTGATTACTCTCTGTGCCTCAGTTTACTTATCTGTTAAATGAGGATAATAAGGTTTTTCCTCATAGAGTTGTTCTGAAGATTAAACAGGTAATAAAAATGGTATTTGTCTGATAGGTTTTCCAATAAATTTAGTCCCCCTAGCTTGAGTATCACACTTTTAGCAGACTATCTGTAATCTTCAGTTCATAGACCATAAGAAAGGCAGAGGAATGTATTCTTTAAATTTGGAATCTGGCTTGGGACATACTTTGCTGCTGGGTGCTCTAAGCAGACACAGTTTGAATGGCAGCCAATAACTCCAGATGGAATTTATGCTTCAAACCCTTTGCTATCACTCAGCAGTCCTGTATCTTACAGAAGCATTACAAAAAGGTTAAGAAATCATCCACAGAATAGACCGTTCTTGTTTCTATATTTGCACTTGGAGATAAAGTGTGTTTACACTTAGAGCTTGGTTGTCTCTTCTATAGCCAACCACACTAGATCATGTATAGCAATGCAGACTTCCAGGGGAGGGTATGGCAT